CATACAAGTGAATGTCAAGTGATTAAAAAAGAAATGTTTACAACAGTATTCAATCCTGAAACTTTCTTCGTTAATACTTCTCCACCAATCAGCTATCAAAACAAAACATCAAATGCATGCTCAACAAAAACAAATTAATATACCAATGGAGACATGCACTGGACGGCATCTAAAGCGGTTGCGCAACACAATGCAATGTTTTGATTTAAAGCTTTCGTGACTGCAGTAATTCATATTCTTAGCTCTTTCGGTAAAGTCACGTTGAAGGGAAACAATAAAATAATAATATATTACCGAAAGAGCTAATAATACAATGCAATGTGTATATATAAAACTAAGAATGCTGGATTCAACACATCTCACAAAAGTACAATAGCAACACAGGCCGATAGGGGCACCAAAAATAGCAAAAAATTTGCGATATTTTTCATTTCACACACACACATTTCGCTCCTCGCCACCAACGTATGTTAATTGACAATTACAGCGACACCTAAACACACAAATACACCTGTAGAGCAACAAATGATCGCACTTTTTTTTCCTGTGCTCAAATCTCATGGTCACTAACCAACCCGCACAGGGGCTATTGTTTTACATTAATGCCACAGCAATTACTGGCGGCAGAAAAAGTGTGCCACAATCGGCCAGGGCCAGGTATTGTCCCTGCAGCCGCCTTAATCCGAGTAATGGCAGCTGCAATCTCAGAGCTGTCCGCTGAACAGGCAGAACGATTACGGTAATTGCCGTTAACTGTTCGCAAACAATACGGTGTCGGATGTCTGTGCCGCCCCATACGGACGCGCCCCGGCTCTGAGTTTCCTCCCACGTGGAAAGGAGCTGCTATGCTAAAGGTTTTAAACACACAAAGACGGAGATCCGCCGTTTACAGCCTCGTAGACTGTCGGGGAGCAACAGCACTGTTAGCGAGCGGCCTGTTAAGTTCAGGATGGTGGATAAAGGGAGTGATGCGGCCTCTGTCCACCCTGCCTGGCCACCCTCCGCCCCCCCCCCCCCCCCCCCCCCCCCCAGTGTTGATGCTTTAAATGCCACACAGTTTACTCGCTTAAGGCTGAGTTGACCAAGAGGGAGGCCAAGGAAATGTTGAAGTACCACTTGCCACTTATGTTATGCATTAGGCACCTAATGACCTCTCACCCCTTGCGACTCGATGGATTGTTACAGTTGAGGACCACGATTAAATTCAATAAATTATTTTTCTACGTATTCGTGGTGAACATAGTGTCTCCAATAGCTGCATACAATCACGTGCGCAAAATGAACCGACTCATGTACACAGGATTCTCACGTGCATGCCCAGTGAGATCATTAACATCGATGTAAGGTCAAGTGCCTATTATCAATGGCCGGGAAACAAAACGCGGTGCACCAAACACCGCCGCGACCATTCCAAACACAGGTAAGTAAACACATGCAAAACAACTTGGTTAATTAAACTCGCAAGGATCGAAGGCAGTGGGTGGGAGCGGCGAGCAGACTTTCCAACATGGCACACGAGATGAGATGATTGCGCAACATTAGCACAACGATTATGCCACCGGCTGCTCATTTTAAGTCGATCTGACCAAATGGAAATCGCTTCCAAGTAACGTTTCATCCCACGGTTGGTGATGGGACTGGAGTTACGGCTGCTTCACTCAGTATTGGGAGGTGTACAACACCAGCCAACTCTGCACCATCTGCAAGGTCAGATGAACAGTGAAGGTGATCTGTGTGCATGCTGCCTACATGGCACACCTGCTCATTATATGATTCACTATATGCACAGAGCAGTAATAAAGAGAAATGCACTATAATTAGTCATCTTTGCTACATCAAAAAAGAGTGCTGTCCTCAAAGTGCTATGCAACTATTTACCTAAGTTACATCGACAAGAGGTTGAATTACTTTCATTTGATACTTAGCCAATCTTTTATAAGATGCTCCCATGGTTAATTTAAAGTAATAATTTGCATTATCAAAATATATTTATCTTTCCAGTTTGTTCATTTGTGTTGACTCTTTGTGGTTACATTTTTCTTCCACGTGCAACATGTAACCTGGAATTTGTTTCATCAGGTGTCCCTTGTCAAACCAACTTTAGTTGTAATGGGCAAGTATTTATATACACATACAGCCCTGTGTCATTTCCACTGCTGGATGAGGGCCTCCACATTACGTGTAGGCCACGGTGTTTTTAACCACGCTGGGCAATGTGGGTTGGTGAGGGTGGGATCCAGACAAGTCAAGAACAATGGATTTCAATGCACCACATGGGCAATTACGTGGTTCTAAATAAAGATCAATCGATCGAATGAACTATCATATGCTTTAGAAGTAAAAACTAACGGTAATTACCGTCCGAGCTTCCTTTGCCAACGTGAAATCTAACCACGTGACCGTGAACCCGCTCGCCACGAGCGTCGGCGACTGCCGGATGGCACGTTGCTTGGCAATGAGCGCCGGCGCACATCACCGGGAGGAGCGGAGCGCCGCTAATTCCAGCAACGACAATTGTAGCAGGTGACAGAGACATCAGCGCAGTCTTCAAAGTCTCCGTCGTTTCATGTTCGTCAATATTCACTTGCTTCGCCACCGCCATTCATCCCCACTTTCAAACAAACCTTTAAATACTCCCCCCGTTGTTACATTTTTTTAATCTTTTTTAGTTTTTTTCTTGCAGTGTTCTGCCCTCTCATCGGCGAGTGGCAGTTGAACGGCATGAGCGTAGCATTGTTCGCCGTGCCAGTGGCCAACAAAATCACATGCGGTCCGAGGGTTTTCTCCCCCCGAAATTTGGTGTGCTGGGTACAACCGTCAGGCTCCCAGGAATGGCGAGGTTAACATTTAAAAACCACTAATGCCAGGAATGCAAAGACACGTAAAGATATATAAGCATAATAAGCCCCAGCGAGTGCAACAAGTGGATTTACATACTTTTCTTGGCAGCAAACCTAGCAGACTTGTTATGATATTATCTTATTTTTTCTTCTATCAGTATATTGCGGCCTTCATTTCGCTTTGTCTCTATCCATCAAAGCCTCGCCGATTCTCAAGACTTTGTTGAGGGTGATCCTTCCTCGGGATCGTTTGCCCGGTTCCTGTTTTTGGTCAACTCCTTTTATGATGAATCCGCAGACATTCGAGCGGCGCACATGCAAACTCCCTCACAAATACTGCCTCGCAACTGAAAAAATATCAAACAAGATAGAATGTCATGCGATGGCACTCCGGCTTTGAAGATGAACCGATGCCGCTGTCCAAAAGGGGTTAACGTGTGTACTTTCCTGTCGTAAGGCGGTGTTTGCTATCGACGAAGCTTCCATTATTGCGGTGTTCACCATTGTCGGCTCGCTTTATTTAGTTATTTAAATAAGCGTGCCCGACTTCATTCCGTGCAAGGCCGCGTTTAATTTCTGGCGAGCCGCAATGAAAACGTAAAAGGGAGAAAACGGCCGATATCGTCTAAAGCCACGGCAAATGCAACGCGACACCAGCCGTGAAACGGTGAATGCAGAGGGGGGGGGGGGGCCTGCACGGCCATAATCCGACACTGGTTTGTGGTACATGATATCGGCAATTAACGTGGGCGCTTTGCTTGCACCGCGAGGTCCGATTACACGGCCACACACGCAGGGATGCGCAGACAAAAGCGAACGTAAACAGCGTGGGAGGGGGGGGGGGCAATCAGACGCGGGCAGCAAAGTGCTGTGTTTACTGTGCACGGTACAGCATTGGGAGACTTGTTCGTGACGGTTTAAATTATTCCATGGTCAAGATTCATTACATAAATATGATGTACTATTGAGTCATTCACTAGTTTACTTGTTCAAAGCAGCGCTCGGTCGACGGCCTTAAACAAAAATATATATTTTCGATGTGATATAATAGAGGTAAGTATTCAATAAAAAGCAACCCGGTGTCGTTGTGACTGTTGAATTGAGACATAAGTGAAATGTGCATTTTGATACAAACAAATAAAAGTAACACAGAAGCCCAAGGCAAGGCAAAGTAATACAGAAGCCCAAGGCAAGGGCACATTGTTAGAAGGTATGATGGCCAAAGGGCAAGAATAATAAAACTATGTGTTTGAGAGCACATCCACCGAGGAGATGGAGTGATAACAGCTTGTGAGCAGGTTGCTGGGTGGATTATTACATCGTCGGATCATGAGAGAGACGCCAGTGGCTTGGTCGGCCTTCAGCCAGCTGTAGATTGACAATGGTTGATAATTATAATGATGAGTTTACAGCCCTTTATTAATCCCGCTGCTGGATGAAGGCTTCCCCTTGCCGTGTGAGTAATGGGAGATAATTGAGCATACTTCACCATGCTGGTCAGTGCAGGTTGGTGAAGGGGTGGGAAGACCAGGTCAAATTATATGACTCGAATATAACTCACTACTTATGTTAACCATGGCCAAGAAAGCAACTCAGATAGCTGGGTTGATAACAAAGTGCACTGAACACTGCATCACTGTAAACCCACTTCCCAGAGTATTTTTTATAAACATAAATAATCTAACGGATTTCAAAAGGAAGTCAAGTGAATTAATCATAATCAGAGGTACCAGGCACTAGATTATGGATACACACAACAGTCCACGTCTGTTTCTATAGAGCATCCCGAGATGTGAATCGCATTTAGACGCTCTATTAATATAAACCGTTTTTGTTGTTGTTGGTGGTGGTGGTGATGGAAGTGAAACTAAATTCCTGCACGAAAAGAACACCCCGTCCCCGAAGTGCTCGTGAATGGTAAAAGGTCCTGCGACACTCCTTACAACAGCAGTCCATTTACGCCAATTGGCCGGCAGCCAAATAAGCCCTACGGTAATGAGCAACGTGGACCACCGCCTAATTAAAAGGTGCCCCCTCTCTAAACAAGGGCCCCGGTGGGCCACACGACGGGACCGTTGCCTAACCCCTTTGCCGCCGGGGGGGGGGGGGGGGGGCTTAGCGGACAATATGCTCAACGTGATAGAACGTTCGGGACGGCACCTGCAGAATCTTCATGAGCACCACTTCATCGCTGGCTGGGTCGGTACCGACGAAGCGCGCGTGCGTGATGGCATCTGCCATGTTCTCTGCCGCCGCCGCCGCGCCATCGTGCGCTGGGTCTGCAAAAACAGGAAGAACAGCAATAGCATCGGCACCACTGGAGCTCAGCACTTTTAAATCATCTACATTGAAAACTCATTTCTTTAGAACTGCTTTTTGTTGTTTAGTTTGCTGTCGTTCTACCGCACCTCCGATTAGCACGGTTAGCTGTGAACTGTGCAAAAGACGCTCAAGCATACATTTACTCGCGAATGGAAACGATTGCGTGCAACACCAACGCATAATGTTGTACAACAGCCATTGCCAGTTTTAGAATAATTCGGTGATGCATATGATAAAGCCGAGAGGCCGATAGACTAACAAAGAAATGTTCTTAATATGGAGAATGGAGTTCTGCTTCTATGTGCTTTTACTCATGATGTTGTACAACGCATAAATATCTGGTAACTAAGCAGCATTTCATATTCTTGGTTCTTTCGGTAAAGTCACGTAGAAGGGAAACAATAAAATATAAATATAAAACAATACAATTCTCACGACGTTTCGACTGCAACACAAGAAATAATCGTCAGGTGTGAAAACCACAGCAAGAAAATTTGAAAAAAGTGGCGTTTTTTTTTACGTTAGCACCACGGAGAGCGATTTGGCAGTTATTCAGATGGACGAGTCCATCTATGTTCGGAAAAGAGGAGGGGGGAGACGAAAATAATGGATGTGGTCTGAAAGCCACCGTAAGCGTGAACAATCAATTAAGACCCGAAGTGTTTTTATTTATTATTGTATTGTTTCCCTTCTACGTGACTTTAGCGAAAGAACCAACAATATGAATCCCTGCAGTCACGAAAGCTTTAAATCAAAATTTAAGCAGCATTTGTTTAAGAAGTCTGACTCTATACATAAAGACCCAGAATGTCGAAAACAGTGGAGAGTTTTGCGTTCCTATGACAAATGCAAAGCCAATCGGCACAAACTAAAAGACCGGAAAAAAATGTGTATTATATGTTTTAATTTATACGTGGAAACACAAAATGAATATCGGTGACGCATCTATGATTAACGCACGGGAACGTGGCCATTACCCAACAGCACGTTTATAGTTACACAACAGCATCGCTGTGACACAAGGTATTTGTTATTACACATTACCTTCAGCATTGCACAATATTTCCACTGCGATACGACTGCAGCATTCCATATCCTCATCCTCCACCACGGCGAGTGCAGCCATTACGAAACGACATGTCCGTTCCAGTGACGTTGGACATTCAGAGGAGATGAACCATGGAACGTAAGCAAGCGGTGATGATCCCCGCCCACAACACCACACTGGTCCCTCGCCCTTGGACAATTCCTTGAATTTAGATAACATGATTGTCTTCATGCAATAACCCATTCTCTTAAGTCGAGTTTAACCATCTTATTTGTCATGTAAGCTGTGTCTTGTTGCTTCTGTATAGTCCCTTTCATTACTCTCAGGCTCCATAATTACTGGGTAATATAAGTCGTAAATGATTGCTGCCCATGTGAACGCTTCCAAGCATGTCTCACACCTGTAATTAATGATTCATTACACGACTGCATTCAAGGGCAGCGGACGTAAAATGTTGCCACAATTCTGTAGAAATGAAGCCCAAAGTAAGAAGGCCAAAGAGATTATTTCTGTCATGGGCTTTGCCATCTAATAACTTTGTCCTCCAATTAATTACTTCCATGAGCCGCAAGCAATTTATGTTAACACTATCAGAGTTAGTTTAAAGCTAGTTGTATGGCAGAAGAGTATTTTTGTCTTGGTTTCTAGAGGATGAACGCACAGCGTAAACATATATTTGACCTGATGTGAACGTATCAGCTGGTGAGGTATACCACATCCTAGACTGAAATTGACACACCTAAGCAATGGCTTTTGACACCTCCTCCAAAATACAAATTTGGCAATGGTAATATCTGTCTAAATGTGGGTGCACACGGCATATGCTCAAACAAATTACAGCCATTAAAAATACATATTTTTTTGGCAATTTAAGCAACAATAAGGCACATCCCTTGGATGTGTTGCTGTTTTGGCAAAGGTGGATTTGCATTATTTTTAAGTGATTTGTTGCCAAAAAACGTATCTGCATTTAGCATGCATTCTCATACCCGCTAACAGTGTTGTAAAGCCTTAATGGGAATTGTGCAGATTAGGGCCGGTGATTGAAGGCCAGATGAACTCCATTTCCCTTCCCTTTCACCCCCATCACGCCTGAACCTTTGCATTAATATGTACAGATAGGAACGTATTAATAAAGATGTTATTGCATGATCCCATACTCAATATTGCAGAGCTCCTGATCCACATAAGTCTCCGGTAAATCTAGATGTATTAGAAATTCCAGGCGGAGTGCGCCGCAGGTAGAATATTAAGTGGACCGCCAAAGCCAGTATAAATTAGACATGGGAGGGTTATGAAGGAAGAGCAGAACGGGGTGATCAACTGAAATGTGGTGGCATTTAGACGATATATAACATCATATTTGTGTCCTCGGCGGCGTCTGTTCGTTAGCGGAGAAACTATTTCTTTTCCAAGGCAGCGCCTCATGAATGAGCTTATGGGCTTTATTCTGCAAGCCGCCTCAGCCTAGAAATCGACCAGCGGCGGTGGCGGTGGCGGCGGCGGCGGGCACAGACGTGACCTTTTCAAAGCCCTCGCCATGGCTCTATTAGACGCCGAATCCTCCCGCTAAATTAGCGATCGCTATGCCTATTCATGCACAGCGAAATCCCCACCCCCCCCCCCCCCCCCCCCCCGGCAGATTAAGGTGTTTCTCGGCAGCATGGAACCGCCGTTTTAGGTGACAAATTGGTTTGGAGCCAAGAGCAAGATAATAAAGACAATATGGGTGGCAGGAGTCTATAATGGAGTTTGGGATCAGGACGGATTTGAACGTCTAATACACAGGGCCCTGCCAAGCGAGCAATTTTTGTGGCTACCACACCCCACCTGAATCTCCTTCAGACGTTTTATTACCACCTAGGAGTGGAGAAGGGCCTCCAGGTTTTTAGCGATGCCAGAGGTGTAACGGCATGCAGTAGTGTTTTTTTTGCAAGGGGGCGCTTTCACTGTGATCCCCAGCCCTCCCACCGAGGCAGCCCAACTCTTCATACCTGGCCGTCCTTGCTCTAGGCTACGTCGAGATTACAGCGCTAAACCTGCTGACGTTTAGGCCACCGTGACTTCGGTGTAACATATTAGGCAAAATCTGGCCGCGGGGAATACGCTAATGTGCAGTAAATTGGAGCGATTAATGGGGATTTTCCGCCTAATTAGAAAGCATTGTGCAAGAGGGCTAATTACCGGAGCGGCTATCGGTGAGGCCGCTTACGGGATAGGCATTCTACGGCGGCGGGCGTGCAGTCTGCCGTGAGCATAAAGAAGTTGGTGTTACAACCTTATCCACACAAATCTGTACACAAACAGCACCGTCTCCACAGAGAGAAACAATTTCAGTCAGCGACTCTGTGTGGTATTCAGATGAAGCTTGGCAGTGTTTTGGTTTTTTTGTACTTGGGAGGCTATTGGATACAATTGTACACATGTCAATGATAGTAAACACAATTCTGCGGTGCAAGGTAAGGTTATTTTTTTTATAGGAATGTTATCAATTGTACTTAACAGCACTTTTGAAAATTGTTAATTTTCATTTCAAACCTGAGCTCAGTTTTTATCAAGTTGCCATCCAGTCTTACAAAGACACATTATTTAATTTATTTGCCTTGTTTCCTAACCCACGACACGTGCCTTCACAATTTCAAAAACGTCTCTTCTAAACAAAAAATTGGTATTCAATTTAAATTAAAAGCTTCAACAGGATACAAACAATTTATTAATTATCTGAACCTATAAATTACTTATAAATTTGTTTACTGAATGTGACACTTTTGTGGGGAGAAAACCCAGTCATGGTGAGGCCAAACACAAGGACACAATCACATACGAGCGGTAATTTCCATGAAAACACTGCGTGTGATGAAATATCCAAAAGATAAGTAAAGAAAATATAATTTAAAGCAGGTTTGTCGACAAAAAAAACACGATATTGTTAAGAGACATTGTAAAATTAACTTGAATATGCAGAACAGGTGTCAGACCCTCACTGAATCATCATCCTCATTAATCGTGACCTACCCACTGGTGGATAAATACTTCCCCAAGCCGTCGCCGACTCTCAGTTTCGTGTCCGAACAACAATTTGTCCATTTAGCAAAATGTGTGCGCGTTACACATTTTTTCATTATTATGATTGTCCTCTTGGGCGTGTACCATCCTTTTGCTGCCATTCCATTTTGAGTCTCAAACATTGGCCATCATCCTTCTAGCCAGAGGTCACGTCCCCAAAAACCACTTACTTTTATTCAATAATTGTCTCCAACTTGCAAATGTTCTCTGATCCATGCATTCCTTGTCTTGTTTATCGGTGTGATTTCTAAGCATGAACCTCTCCGCGATTCTTTCTGCACTTAAAAAAATAAACAAAAACGTTCCTCTTTCTTCCTTAACACACTGGTGCATTGCTTTTCACGATTAAGTTCAGTTTTACTAAAGCAATCCAACCTGCCTCTCAACACCTCTATTTTATGTTGATCTAGAAACCACCTTTATCAACTACCCTAGGTACACATACTCCAGGTGTATCCCTCCAAAAGCGGTCTTCAACCAATCACCAACATTGTTCTACATCACTTGTTTCTCTTTCATCTTGAGCCAAACTGTATATAGCCTTCTTTACTAAGTTCAACAATATTTTACTGTGGTTCATTGTCATTTGGTTATTATATCAGCAATAGTACATATTCTCTTAATTTATGTTGATGCCTTTATATCTTCAAACAAATTTTTGGAAAACGTCTTCTTACGTCAAGTGACTTTTGCGAGAGTGTGTATTGTTGATGGACTATGTATTTTGTTACCGTCTTTGCGCTATTTGGGTGTAGTGGTTCCACTTTTGTAAATGTGTTTTCATCATTACCTAAAAATGTGTATGTAGACATTGGTATCTGGGAGCTTAGATGGCTGCATAGT